TATTGCCAGTCTGCAGAATGTCATCGTCTACGAGTATTTGCCGGCATTTCTGGGCACTGCGATTCCGCCATATGAGGGCTACAAGCAGGACGTGCATCCGGGCATTGGACATATCTTTCAGGCGGCTGCCTTTCGCTTTGGCCATACTATGATACCGCCTGGCATTTATCGGCGCGATGCCGAATGCAATTTTAAGCAGACGCCTATGGGATATCCGGCAATACGTTTGTGCTCCACGTGGTGGGACTCCAGTGTAACTAGATAGACTCATATATTCCGTATATTTACATTTAACGAATCTTATTGATTGCAGGGTTTCTTTGCCGACACCAGCTTGGAGGAGGTGCTATTGGGTCTATCGTCGCAAATTTCAGAGCGCGAAGATCCCGTTTTGTGTTCAGATGTGCGCGACAAGCTGTTTGGGCCTATGGAATTTACACGTCGAGATCTAGGTGCTCTCAACATTATGCGTGGACGTGATAATGGTTTGCCCGATTATAATACGGCCAGAGAAGCATATGGCCTGCACAGGCATAAGACCTGGACAGACATCAATCCGCAGCTGTTCGAAGCGCAACCCGAGCTCTTGGAGTAAGTTTTAACTGAAGTTTTATGTAATTCCAATATTAATCTAAATTGCTTTCATTCACAGCATGCTCAAGGAGGCCTACAATAATCAGCTCGACGATGTGGATGTATATGTGGGTGGCATGCTGGAGTCCTATGGTCACCCGGGCGAGCTATTTACTAATGTCATCAAGGAGCAGTTTCAACGCTTACGCGATTCGGATCGCTTTTGGTTCGAGAATGAGCGCAATGGCATCTTTACGCCCGAGGAGATTGCCGAGCTGCGTAAAATAACGCTTTGGGATATTATCATTAATAGTACAGACATAGCCCCGGATGAGATACAGCGCGATGTGTTTATGTGGCGCACTGGCGATCCCTGTCCGCAGCCCATGCAGCTGAATGCCACAGAACTGGAGCCATGCAATTATTTGGAGGGCTACGATTACTTCTCCGGCTCTGAGTTGATGTTCATCTATGTATGTGTTTTCCTTGGCTTTGTGCCCATACTCTGTGCCGCCGCCGGCTATTGTGTGGTAAAACTGCAGAACAGCAAACGACGTAAGCTGAAGATACGTCAGGAGGCGCTGCGCGCACCACAGCAAAAGGGTTCCGTGGATAAGATGTTGGCACGTGAGTGGTTGCATGCGAACCACAAGCGTCTAGTAACAGTCAAATTTGGACCCGAGGCGGCCATCTATACCGTGGATCGTAAGGGCGAAAAGCTGCGCACATTTAATCTTCAGCATGTGGACGTTGTCAGCGTGGAGGAGTCGGCCACAAATCATATAAAAAAGAAGCCCTATTTGTTGCTTCGTGTGCCCAGCGATCACGATCTAGTACTGGAACTCGAGTCATATGGAGCACGTCGCAAGTTTGTAAAGAAGCTGGAGGATTTCTTGTTGTTGCACAAAAAGGAATTGACACTGATGGAGGTGAATCGTGATATTATGCTGGCCAGAGCAGAGACACGAGAGCGACGCCAGAAGCGTCTGGAGTACTTCTTTAGGGAAGCCTATGCACTGACATTTGGACTACGGCCGGGCGAACGCAGGCGACGCTCGGATGCATCGAGCGATGGCGAGGTGATGACAGTGATGCGCACCAGTCTGTCCAAGGCGGAATTTGCGGCGGCATTGGGCATGAAGCCGAACGATATGTTTGTGCGTAAGATGTTCAATATTGTGGACAAGGATCAGGACGGACGCATTAGTTTTCAGGAGTTCCTCGAAACCGTGGTGCTCTTCTCGCGTGGCAAAACGGACGACAAGCTGCGCATCATATTTGATATGTGCGACAATGATCGCAACGGAGTTATCGACAAGGGCGAACTGAGCGAAATGATGCGTTCGCTAGTGGAGATTGCTCGCACCACTAGCCTTGGGGATGACCAGGTTACCGAACTAATCGATGGCATGTTCCAGGATGTGGGACTTGAGCATAAGAATCATCTAACCTACCAGGACTTCAAGCTCATGATGAAGGAGTACAAGGGTGACTTCGTTGCCATTGGGCTGGACTGCAAGGGTGCCAAACAGAATTTCCTGGACACATCCACTAATGTGGCACGCATGACCTCCTTCAATATAGAACCCATGCAGGATAAGCCACGGCATTGGTTATTGGCCAAATGGGATGCGTACATAACCTTTCTGGAGGAGAATCGTCAGAATATATTTTATCTATTTCTATTCTACGTGGTGACCATTGTTCTATTCGTGGAACGTTTTATACACTATTCCTTTATGGCAGAGCACACCGATCTCCGTCATATTATGGGCGTGGGCATTGCCATCACTCGCGGATCTGCGGCTTCTCTATCCTTCTGCTACTCGCTACTGCTGCTGACCATGTCGAGGTAAACGTTCACGTTCGACTTCCTTGAATATTCTTAATAGCTTTTCCTTCGACTTGCAGAAATCTGATTACCAAACTGAAGGAATTTCCAATACAGCAATATATTCCATTGGATTCGCACATACAGTTCCATAAGATTGCCGCCTGCACAGCGCTCTTCTTTTCGGTGCTGCATACGGTTGGACATATCGTTAACTTCTATCATGTATCCACACAGTCGCATGAGAATCTGCGCTGTTTGACGCGCGAAGTACACTTTGCGTCGGACTACAAGCCGGACATTACTTTCTGGCTATTCCAAACGGTCACAGGCACCACGGGCGTCCTGCTCTTCATCATCATGTGCATCATTTTCGTGTTTGCCCATCCAACTATACGCAAGAGAGCTTACAATTTCTTCTGGAACATGCATACGCTCTATATTGGGCTCTATTTGCTGAGTTTGATACATGGTCTGGCACGTCTTACTGGTCCGCCACGTTTCTGGATGTTCTTCTTGGGACCTGGTGTTATCTACACGCTGGACAAGATTGTCTCGCTGCGCACCAAGTATATGGCACTGGATGTCATTGACACGGACCTCTTGCCCTCGGATGTTATAAAGGTCAAGTTCTATAGGCCGCCAAATCTAAAGTATTTGTCTGGGCAGTGGGTGCGTCTGTCCTGCACCGCCTTTAGGCCACAAGAGATGCACAGCTTTACATTGACCTCGGCGCCGCACGAGAATTTCCTGAGTTGTCACATCAAGGCGCAAGGACCTTGGACATGGAAGCTGCGTAACTATTTCGATCCCTGCAATTACAATCCAGAGGATCAGCCCAAGATACGCATTGAGGGCCCGTTCGGTGGTGGCAATCAGGACTGGTACAAGTTTGAGGTGGCTGTCATGGTGGGCGGTGGCATTGGTGTTACACCCTACGCCTCTATACTAAACGATTTGGTCTTTGGCACCAGCACCAATCGCTACTCGGGCGTGGCCTGCAAAAAGGTTTATTTCCTGTGGATTTGTCCATCCCACAAGCATTTCGAGTGGTTCATCGATGTGCTGCGTGATGTGGAGAAAAAGGATGTGACCAATGTGCTGGAGATACACATCTTTATAACGCAGTTCTTCCACAAATTCGATCTGCGTACAACTATGCTGGTGAGTTGTGAAGGACTTATCGCTCGTTTGAGTCTGTTTTTAATTGAACTTTTCTCTCTTTTGTAGTACATTTGTGAGAATCACTTTCAGCGCCTCTCAAAGACATCCATATTCACGGGTCTCAAGGCTGTCAATCATTTCGGGCGCCCCGACATGTCCAGTTTTCTGAAGTTTGTGCAAAAGAAGCACTCCTATGTAAGTCCTCAAGCAATTGATTCGATGATGGAATATCTTCATTCAATGATTGATGTTATGTTTTTACAGGTGTCTAAAATAGGTGTCTTCTCTTGTGGTCCTAGGCCGCTAACAAAGAGCGTCATGTCCGCCTGTGATGAAGTGAACAAAACACGCAAATTGCCTTATTTTATACATCACTTCGAGAATTTTGGTTAAACCTTGTGTATGCCCAGTTCTTAATCAGCTCTACAATTATCTGCCAACTATAAAAAATCACACAATGAAACAAAACGGATTACTCTACGAATATTATATGCATAGTATTTAGTTTCATTCATTAAGCATTTAAGCGAATTTAGATTTCACCTGACCAACCTACCCGCCCCTTCCCCTTCATTCCCTTCTCTCACCCTAGTCCTACTTAACCTCGACTATCTCTCACGTAATCTGTAACTTCATAAATTAGTCATGTTCTACAATTTAGTGCATTATGAAAATTTCCATTGATATTTAGCTACAATCACAACAGCAACACGAAGAACAAAAAAAACGGCCCTTTTACTTTATATACATATACTTATGTATGTGTATGTGTATATGTATATGTGTATTTATTGAAAATATGATTTGTTATCAGTTTTTGTAAACCGTTTGCATTATTTATTAAAATTTACAATTTAATTGAAACAATGTAACAAATGTATTAAAATTTATTTGTATATGTCTATACTTGGTACATGTATATACTTATACTATATATTTACTTATAAATATATATATATATATAAATATGCTTATATATTTGGATAAATATATATTTATATTGGCTAATTTCATTATTGAATTTGCCAAATTTGGTTTAGATTGACACCATTGGAAGGATTTCTTTGAGTGAGTTTACACTGTAATATTTAGTTTGCTTTGAGTATTGATAGTTATTTCCCTTTTATACAGTATATATATACAGAGCTTAAAATCTGGACCATTTGACCTAATCTACGGCCAAATGGAATTTACTATAGCTCAAGAGCTTAAGAAGTTCGCTCACTTGCTAAGCAGTGCAGTAAGCAGTTCTGCAAGCAGTGCCACCATACCCATGCTCAATATTTCAAGCCTCCACTGTAAGATGATAATGCGCTTGCGTCAACTACAGCTGTTTGCTGGCAGCTCAAAGCAAAAGCAGGATTCGCCATATAAACACACATCCTGGAGAAAATATTAAACAAATTTCTAGTTAAACAACAAATTTCCTTAAATGGATCTAAATGTGCTGCGCCTAGCGGCGGATTATTACCACAAGTTACTCAATGCGGAGCTGCATATCAATGAATGGGTGCAGGATCGGTAAGTCAATATTCCACTGAAGCCAATACCGATTTTAATGTAAAGTTCTTGCAGCTTGTTCATTGCCGAGCCCGTTTTTCGTTTTGTCAGCGTTTACCTGGAGCCGAGTAATCTGTTCAATGTACTAATACCTTTGCTGGGCGTCTGTGGACAAGATTTGCTCACGCATCTGGTTTATGCGCTCAGTTTGGTTAGCGCCGTGAGCTCCTTCGAGAAGTGGCAAGTTTTGCAGTTGCAGTTAATTTCGTGGCATAAGCTAATACTTCTACGCTTGCAGGATATATCCGGAATGGCGACCCCTCTGGCGACTACGTGAACTCTATGCCAATCAGCATGCCATTCGACCGGGCATTGCATTGCAGAGTCACGATCTGAGCTGTGAGACGAGTGGCGGATTGCCATGTGGACACAGCATGGCATGGACAGCACTGCTGATGGTTATAAGTATGCATCTGCCAATAACACGGCGCTCCTTTGCCAGCCGACTAACCATGTATATCATGATTGGATGCTGCATGCTCTGCATGTGGCTTAGCCGCCTCTACCTGGCCACCGAGTATCTGCATCAGTGTCTGTTAGCCACTTATATAGCGATAAGCCTCTTGTCCAGTTGCCAAAGGCATTTGAATTATTTATATGCCCAGCGACGCTTCTGGCCGGTACTGATGGTGCTTCTGCTTGTTTACCTGGCCATCTCCATTTACTTCATTAAGCTACACCTGGAAATTGACCCACATTGGTCTGTCAGGCAGGTGAGTGGCTTAAAGAGTCTCAGTCGCAGCAAGTTTCATTAATAAATTGTATTTTCTGCAGGCTTTTAAGTGGTGTCCCGAACCTACATATATGCGGCATGAGAGCAGTCCCATCTTCCTGCTGGCACGAGATCTGGGTAATCTAATGGGCGTCGCAATCGCACTACCTGTGGATCAGCTGTATGTCTATAAACAAACTATCTGACTTTTCGGGATGTTTTTATCAAATGTATCTTTACTTTTGCCCATAGGAGAAATTACGATTCAAAATGTTCACATCGCTTTGTTGGCATTGCCATCGTGGAGATCCTTAACTATATCCTGCGCCTTTTTACACCCAAACAACATGGACGCTTCTTATTTCTGGCCTATGAATTTATGCGCAATGCCCTGCACTCACTGATACTCGTTAAGCTGCTACCTAAGCTCCTACATAGAACGAGTTGAGCTAAATTTAGTCTGATACATTTTAATAAGATATTATTTTTATATAATTAATAAATAAGTAAATATTAAACCAGCAAAATTAACAGAGGCGCCTGATTTGACTGAGAATTTGACTTACCTTAACATCACTCAATAACCGAGTGATGTTAATTAACAATGAGCTTACGTTCCACTCTGTTATCAACATTATTGTGCTACTTAACATAAATCTTAAATCAGATCAGAGGCCACTGTCCCGTGGGGGTAGGCAACGATTTTTTCGAAAACTTTAAATCAAAAATTGTGGATACCAAAAATGTTTAACTCTCCCTGGTATATACGCGGCTCAACACTCAAGCTGTTTACTTACAAGCAGATACACGGATAGATCGCAACGACACCGATACCTACTTGCAAGAGGTCTAATCCCTAATGCCAGACCCCTAAGACGACTTAAACGGCAAAGCTTTGTCAAAACGATGAGAATGCAGTAAGCTATCGACTTTTAGTTCCTCATAATATGACTGAGGTTTGGCCCTAATTCCACAATATACATGTGTTGCTAAGGTACTAAATTTGATTGTAAAGGTTCTACACTTAATAAAAAACAAAAACAAAAAGCAACCAAAAGTGTTTGAATAAAAAAGTGTTTCCATTTCACATAATTTGTTCACAAATATTTTTAAATTTTAGTACAAGAAATAAAACAACTAATAATAAATTTCATTTCGTGTTCTTTTCAAAGAAAAGTGTTGTAGGGATGAGCTTCATCGAACAACTATGAAGGGTAATTGAGTCATTAATATAGGTTTTAGTGAGCAGCAGCGGCAGCTTTTTGAATTAATTTTGTGTGCTCAAGTCATATCATCCATTAATATTCCAATTCAATAATAATTTTTGATACTTAAGTAAAGCCAGTAACCGCAAAAAAGTTACAAGTTTCACTTATAAAGAAAACTATTTATAAATACTATAATCATGTGCATGTATGTTTGTATGCATTTGAAAAATAAGCTACCTTCTGCTCCAAGCGAATGTTCGTGAACAACTGAGTGCAAAGCAAAGCCAGCGCTAGCATTAATACAATCCAAATAATTCTCCCATTCTCACATATACCGCTCAACCAATAAAATCAGTGGGCGATGGCGTGCATGCATGCAAGCCCTTCCGCTCGTGCGCTCACGAAATTGTCAAGCCATGGATCCCTTATTGCATGAGTGTCTTAAAGTATAGCGTCTCTCTGTTTAACATTTAGGAAAACACTCAATTTAGCATACACAAAACCACTCAAGATTACAGGCATCTACGATCTAAGCTCAACGTCTTCTCTGTTCCCTTCTTTGTATTTACTTTTGTTCTCCTTTTTGGCTGTGTTGAGTGAAACGGTAAGAGCTACGTCAATGAGTAACGATCTGTGCACACTTCTGTAGTTTCTGTTTTGCTCTTCTTTGAGTGAACTTTTACAGCTCATCATACATACACGGTACATATCACACACAGACAGAATTACCATCAAAAGTTATTCTCTTCTTGCAAGATTTTTAAACAATATTTATTCTGTTACTTCAGTTTGTTTGTTTTTTTTTCGGGTTCTTACAATATTTAAGCAGTTGCTTTCGTATTACATTTTACAATGTTTTCGCTGTTGCTTAAATTAATTCATTTATTTTTATTTTATTTAATTTATCTTTATATAATGCTATTTTATGTGTATGTAAATTGTTAAATGTATGTATTTGTGTGTGTGTGTTTGCGTGTGTGTGTTTGTGTTTGTGTATGTTTAACATTGGTTATGGTATGCATTTTAATTAGTTTGTATATGTAATATTTTTTTATAATCTTTACTTAACAAGTTAAATATTCGATTTTCGTTTCATTTGCTTTTAACATTTGTTGGATTTTCCAAGTTTTTTTGTTTATAAGTATTTTAGTTAGCAGCTAACGGGTTTACGTTTTATCTTTGCATTTAGTTGATACATATATATTTATTTATATATATATATATATATTTATATATATAAAACAAGTTTTTTTTAATACAAAATATAAACTAATTACAAATATTTTATATTTATATAAATATATTTATGTTTTTATATTTAATAACATTTATGCGTGTAAATAAAATGTTTATTTACAATAACTGGACTTTTGAATTTTGAATAGCTTTTGTGATTTGGTTTTTTTTTTGTTGTTTATAAATGCGCAAGAGGAAAATTGTTTTTGTAATTGTTTTTCATAAGTTAATTAACATAGTTGTCTAATCAGAATTGATCTCAAAAACAAAATGAGCTGAACTTAGCTTTTAGTATTTGCTATAATATTTACATTATGTATTTAGTTTGTATACCTATATATATATATATATATATATATATATATATATTGATATATATATTTATGTATTTGTATAATATGTTTTTCCACATTAGGTAACAGTGCATTATTTTTTTTCGATATTTTGCTGGGTTAGTTTTGTGTTTTAGTTGAAATACAGTTACAAATGGCAAGTGTTTGGGGGCATTTGGAACATTGACTTTTCGTTTATATTTTCTTTTAGTATTCGTTTTATTTTCCATTAGCTCACTAACATTATGTCGATTGTTAAGTTATCTAAACTGCAATTGATGCTTAACTCTCCACGGTTTCCCAAGTAGCGCCGCCCTCTTTATTAACTGTTTTTCTTTTAGCATCTTGAAGCAACATTTTGGGATTTGGTTGCGAATGATTTGAATGCATTTATTTTCAATATTCATTGAATACTTTTAGTATTTAATTCTGGAATTGCTTAAAGCAAAGCTGCCCACATGCTGGCACATCAAATGCTACAAATTACATTTATCTAATATAATATTATTATATTTTATTAAATTGGGGGATCTTAGCGTTCATTCTCATTGGCCAGCTGGGCTTGCATCTCTGTGGGCATATCTAATCATAATTTGCGCTTAGTTTACGAATAGTTGTAAATATTTGCTCACATCATATAAATATGCTTATCTCTACCTGTAGATATAGATGTATCTGTGCATCTGCTGCTTATTAATGTAGACAAAAATTGAAACGAAATTACTGTGCATTCTTTTTACTCAAATTGATCTTCATTTTCCAATTACATTTAACTATGCCTTACATATCGAAGTCAACTAAATTGCACTCGTCCTTAGTCATAATAGATTCAATGATTCATAGATTCGTAAATTCAGAGATTCATAGATTCAAAGATTCAATGATACATTGATTGAATGATTCAATGATTCAATGATTCAATGATTCAATGATTCAATGATTCAATGATTCAATGATTCAATGATTCAATGATTCAATGATTCAATGATTCAGTGATTCAGTGATTCAGTGATTTAATGATTCAATGATTCAAGGATTCAATGATTCAATGATTCAATGATTCAGTGATTCAATGATTTAATGATTCATAAAATTATTGATTTATTCATTGATTCATAGATTTACAAATTCATTGATTCATTGACTCATTCATTCACTGATGAATTGATTCATTGATTCATTGATTCAATGATCCATTGATTCATTGACTCATATATTCACTGATTCATAGATTCACTGATTCATTGAGTCATTCATTCACTGATTCATTGATTCATTGATTCATTGATTCAATGATCCATTGATTCATTGACTCATACATTCACTGATTCATTGATTCATTGACTCACTGATTCATTGATTCACTGATTCATTGACTCATTCATTCACTGATTCATTGATTCATTGACTCACTGATTCATAGACTCACTGATTCATTGACTCTTTCGTTCACTGATTCATTGATCCATTGATCCATTGATTCATTGATTCATATATTCATAGATGCATTGACTCATACATTCATTGTTTCATAGATTCATATTCGTATCTTAGTTATGAGAGTATTCTCAATGTACTTATAGTAATTGCTTGCTTGATTTTCGTCCAGCTCTAACTTCTTACTGTTGCTGGATCTATTGAAGCTCTTCCAGTTGTGGCTGGCAGGAGCCGCAGCATTTCTCCTTGTAGCGATGCAGTCGACAAAGGCCCATAGAGCGGGCGTTGCGACAATAGCGAGAGCTATCACGACAGCCTGTCGAAGAGCTGCCCACTGTTTAGGTATAGCGATCAAGAGATTCGATTATGGTTATGGGACTTGGTATGGGAGGGGTTAGAACTTACCTTTGGATTGACATGGCGCACTTTTGCACACCTTCATGACCGCTGGGCGTGGCTGATGCTTGCACACGTTGCCCGCAGGTCGACGGCTGCCATACCAGACGCACTGCAGAATGCGGAATTTGATGCCCTGACGGCCACAGGGCGCATTGCACTGTGTGAACAGAAAGCAAAACAGAAAGCCATTGCAATTGACATTAATAAAAGATGCACTCCATGGCCATAGCCATAGTCGTAGCTGTAGCTGTAACGGTATTGCCACCCACCTCGGACCAGGGCTCCACACGCCAGACGCCCTTGCAGCGCTCGTTGTAGCATTCTTGCCGTGCCGCCGGCCTCTCGTACTCATCGCAGGCGGTGCCCGCGCTGCCATTCTGATAGCGGCAGTTCACCTCGCGCCGTTGCACGGCCGTGTTGCGTCCGTGGCAGCGCGACTGGTGGCAGAGTGTCCACTCGCCCTTGGTCCAGTGCGGACAGGGCTCGTTGCCGCAGCTCTGGAACGTGTCGGGCATGTCCAGCCCCTGGCCACGGCATTGCGCATTCTCGACGATGTCGACGACGCTGCCATCGGTGGCATTTGACATCGTCTTCTTTGTTGCCACACGCCGGCAGCTCAGCGTGCGGCGCTATGGAGGTGGCAAAAGAAACAATGTTTACTGTTATTTTCTACTCTCTCTCTCTCTCTCTCTGTGTCTCGCTGCCTTTCTCTTTTTTCATGCCACACATAAAACAATGGACGGCAGCAGCCAAGGCAGCCGCAGCGACAGGACAACCCTGTCGAGCCAGCACTGCCTGCTAAAATATTTAAACTCGTCCTCAATCTCTGCTTCTAC